AAAAAAAAAAAAAAAAAAAGAAAAGACCCAAGGCTTGGACAACAGAAGAAACAGAGCATAAGAGGCCACCTGGGAGGCACAAGAGGCTTCTCGATAGCCTGCAGCACCACTCTTGCCCACCATGTCCTCCACCCCATTGCCACAGGATGTCACCATTCCTGGCCCTGGGTCAACTTCCCTATCCCAGTGGCTGCATTGCCTGAGTTCCCTGCCATGAGCARGACCCCCAGCCCCAAGCACTCCTGAGCTTCACTCACCTCCCGCAGCACCAGGCCCAGCAGCATCTCCCAGGTTACACAGTTATCTCCCAGCCCCAGCACCAAATTCCCTCCACTTCCATCTCAGCCACAGACTGTGTCCACCTATGGCCTTCAACTCCCAGCCCCACCTGTGACTGACTCATCCCAGCCCCAGGGCCCGCAGCTGCCACCCTTCACCAAGCAGGACTGGACGGAAGGGAGGCCACGAGCCCCATCAGGGACAGCTGGGGCCACCGGGGCAGCAGAGCTGCCCCCTTGCGCCCTCAACCTGGTGGGAGCTGAGGCAGAGCCCTGGCCCGGGCACAGGGACAAAGGGGCAGCCAGGGGTGGCTGGTGCCAACAGCCCCTTTGTGCTGCAGGACAGGACAACCCTGTCAAGGACTGGGGGCCAGGCAGGCATGGCCCCTGACCCACAAAAGGGGTCACCCTGTTTGTGTCACCACCAACATCCCTCCTTGCACAAAAGAGGAGCACTGGACCACATCCCCACTGGACTAGGGTTTAAAACTAACCTTTGGCTTTCAGCCTTGGAGCTGGCTTCTGCCTGGATGCAGTGGGGTGCAGGGGAGAATTCTCCCCTCAAGTCCACATGCCGCCTGAAGACGAGACTCCTGGAGCTTGCCAGACCTCTCCCATCTTCTTGGGGGTTGGTTATTGCACATTGGTACACTGGAGTTAGCCAAGAACTCCACGGAGTAGCGGAGAAATAYCCCTACAGACATCCAAAACCTGCTTGTAAATGTTGCACTTGAATAAATTCTGCTGTTTGTGAACTTGACTGATTGGTTTGAATGCAGTCAGACCTACAGCTGACACTGTGAATCTGGTGCGGACCCAGTCAGGCCCTACAGCTACCACTGTTGGGTATCCCCATTAAGAGAAGAATACAACCACCTCTGAGGATCATCTAGAAACAGAGAGGATTAATCTCTTCCTGAATTTACTCCCCTTTCAAACTGAAACTTGGAGCAACAAGAAACACAAAGCTTTGTGGTGTGCTGCAGAGCAAACCCAGGGCCCCAGGGTGCACCGAGAGCTTGGGGCAACCCACGTGGGGTCCCAAAGTGGGTCCTGAAGTGGGAATTGAGGGGTCCAGAGGGCAGTGCAGGGCAAACACAGAGTTCTGGGGCTTCTAGAGTACTTTGACCAATGGCGAAAAAAAAGAGGGCCTACCTCAGTTGGGAGATGAGGATAAAAGGGGTCTGTGTTCGCCAATAATTTGAGAGACCCCCCCAGGGGTATGTCTCGGTGGATGCTCCCTTTATTCAAATAAAGTTTTAGGACTCTTCTTAGTACTCATCCTGCTTTAGTGTGTTGCTAGTGTGGATCGTCCTGAGTAATCCCAAGGGTTGATTTTCCTTGGAGTGCAGGTGTTTTCATCGCCGAATCACAAACCCATCCAGAATGGGGCCCCGTGGCACCCCTCCCGGCAGCACCATGGCTCCGGATGCCCGGGACCGGCACCGGCTCCTGCTCACGCTCTGCTCCAGGCTCCCTTCGTGGCTCCGGTCCTGGTCCCGCCCTGCGGCTGCTCCTGGCTCCACTCCCGGCCCCACTCCTGGACAGTGCCCAGCTCCAAGGGCCTCAGCTGCCAGGGAAGTGCACCTCGGGGCACGGGAGCGTCAGGAAGACTCCTTGGGGATCCACAGGGACACAGCACTCCAGTCTCACGTGGTGCCAGCAATCCCAGTGTGCCCTATGGCAATGGTGGCCAGGACTCCCGGCCCCAGTGCTCATGGTCACAAGGAGCCTCAGCACCAGGGCAGCTGGGACCCCATGGGGGGATCCAGGGTGCAGCACAGCAAAGATAAATATATATATATATATATGATATATTTTTACCTAACTAAGCCTACGTCTGTCTAGGCCTAAGCCTGTCTGACTCTGTCTAACACTATGTCTGTCAAAGTCTGTCTGAGGCAAAGCCTAAGTTTGTCTAAGGCCAACACTGTCTAAGTCTAGGTCTGCCTAAATCTAAGTCTAACTAAACCTGTCTAAGTCTGTCTAAGAAAAGCATGTCTAAACCTGTTTAAGGCTAAGAATATTTAAGTCTGTCTGTATAAATTTAAGTCTGTCTAAGTCTCTCTAAGGCTAAAGTCTGTCTAGCTCCATCTAAATATAACTAGGCCTGTCTGTCTACAGCTAAGCCTGTGTAAGGCTAAGCCTGACTAAGCCTGTCTAAACGCTAAATCAGACTAAGTCTGCCTAAGTCTAACTAAGCGTGTCTAAGTCTCTGTCTGTAAATATCTAAGTCTAACTAAGCCTCTCTAAGTTTGTCTAAGTCTAAGCCTGCCTAAGTCTGTCTAACAATAAGCCCGGCTAATTCTGTCTACATTTTAGTGTACCAAAACCTACATCTGTCTAAGGCTAAACCTGTCTAAATCTGTCTAAGGTTAAGCCCATCTAAGTCTAAGTTTAACCAAGACTACGTCTGTCCAAGGTTAAGCCTGTTTAAGTCTGTCTAAGTAACGAAGCCTCTCTAAGTCTGTCTAAGGCTAAACACATCAAAACCTGTCTAAGGCTAAGCCTGTCTCAGTCTGTCTAAGGTTAAGCCTGTCTCAGTCTGTCTAACTCTGTCTAAATCTAAGTCTAACGAGGCCTGTCTAAGGCTATCCAAGTCTAAGCCCATCTAAGCCTAGGCCTGTGTAAGGCCAAGCCTGTCTAATTCTCAGCTCTCTCTGTTTGCCCTGCAGCCCCAGCCTCGTGGCCTGGCCCCAGGGAACTCTCCCGGCTCCCCACAGCGCTGTGGCTCCTGCCACGCCGGCACAGCCCCACAAGGCTCCACGGGCACCCACCAAGGGCAGGAGACCCCCTGCTGCTGAGGCACGAGTTGGGAAGCAGACGCAAAGCGGCCCCGATGCCCCGGACTGGACTGTGCCAGGCTCCAGTCCGGCTGCTGCCCGGCTCCTGAGCGCAGCCGTCACTCCTAGGGTTGCTCGTTGCACCTGTCCTGTGTCGCTGCAAAGGAACAGACCTCACCCCTTGTCCTCGACTCCTTGCGACACCCTCCTGAGAGGATGCTTGTGATTTGGGGCACTGCAAAGGAAGAAGGCGGTACCCAACRCCACCATTCAGCCAGAGAACAGCCAAAGGTGAGTGGAAAAAATGCCTCCCTGGCCTCCTCCTGAAGCCCTTGCTCTCTACACTCCCCCACAAACAGCAGCATCCACCATGCAGTGGACAGACACGTRCGTGAGAGGGGAGGCCCTGCAGGCCTCAGTGCGGCCCCTAGGGGCCTCCGTGTGCATGGAAATGCAGGGGCCCTACAGGCCTCCATGTGGCTCCTAAGGACCTCCATACACATGGGGATGCCGGCTCCCCATGGGCCTCCGCACAGCCCCTCGGAACTCCTGTGTGCATGGGGACTGGGAGGTTGTACTGGCCTCTGTAAAGACCCCATGGGCTTCATTTTGAATGAGGCTGCCCTACAGGCCTCCGTGTGGGTCCCAGTGGCCTCCATATACACAAGGATGAGGGGGCCCTAAGAGCCTCCAGGTGGTTGCACAGGGCACCTGCGTGCGTTCAGACTGGTGAGAGGGCTATGATCCTCCRTGCAGCTCCCAGGGGCCTCCATGTGGATGAGGGAGGCCCTAGGGGCACCATGAAGTCTCCTATGGCCTCTGTGCGCACAGGGCTGGCAGACCCTAGGGGCCTCTGTGCAGCCCCCAGGAGCCTCTGTGCCCAGGGAGACAGCCAGGCATTAGGAGTGTGCAGTCACTGTGGGGGAAGACCGGCAGCAACACTGGGAGCGGTGCCGGAGGCCTGCAGGGGACAAAGGGGGCGCGCAGGGCACTCCTGCCTTGCTACCTGGGCCAACATGGCTGGCAGGTGAGTGCGAGCTCCTCACTGCTGTGATATGCTCGACTGCCTCCTCCATGATTGCACACTGAAGGGGCCAGCAGGGAGGGGACGTGGAGCCGAGGGCAGGACACAGAGAGGCCGCAGAGGCCGTGCTGTGAGGAGCTGCTTGYGCCTGCGGAGGGCCGGCTCCAGCACGCGGGAGGTTTCAGGCCGGGARAACACAAGAGGACAGCCACAATGTTCCAGGAAGGACCCAGCAACCCCAGGGCAGAGCCAGCAACCCCAGGGCTGGGGGGATGCTCTGGGGGCCCCTGTTCCGAGCTATCTGCAGGCCTCTGTGGATCAACTTGCCCCCACGGTGCCATCAGGCCCCTCACGCAGAAGGGGCAGCAGGAGCAGGGACCTCCCGAGAGCCCATCCTGCCCAGCCCAGCCCAGGGGGGGGGGGGGGGGGGAAGGGGGGGTCACCTATCAGTGAGCTCCTTCCTGGGCCCCATGGGGAGCCACGAGCACTGCCCAGGCCGGGTGCCCCAGCAGGGTGGCACCCAGAGCGCCCCTCTCTGCGCTCCTTGTGGGACACGGGGCTCTTCTCCCGGCCTTAGGGGACAGCAGCGCTGCCACTGGGGTGTCACCATGGCCCAATGCAGTCAAAKGCGGAGGAGGAAGGGGAGAGTGCCTCGGGGCAGTGAACGCTGCCCCAAGTGCCAGGTTGCTCCTGCAGGGCCGCCACGGCACCTTTCCCAGGCTCCCTGCCCCAGCTAGGGAGCAGATCGAGCACCGGGCTCCCCGCTCTGCCAAACRAGCCCCGCACGGGGCCTGTGCTGCTCTGCCCCTCTCCACACCCGAGGTGGGAAGGGACCACCAAGGCCCGGTGGCTAGGCCAGGCCTCGCTCCCTCCCCGCCCCCAAGGGCGTCAAGGACATGGTCCCAACGYAGCACATCCCAAATGGCTACGATTTATTGGACAACGGTCAAGTCAGAAAGGGCCCTAAACTGTACAACGGTAAAAAACACTGCTGTGCGCCTCATGTGCTCGAGGTGGTTTTCCTCCGCTTCAGGCGCGCTCGCCAGTCCTCTGGTAGCGCCTCGAAGTTGGCGTTCCTCTCCGCCATGCCGCTGCAGGGACAAAGCACGCCCATTAGCACCCAGCACRGTGTCACCCGGCCCCCCTGCCCAGACACCTACTCCTCTCTCTGCACAGGGAGCGAGGTAACAGCCCTGGCTCGAGAGAAGCCAGTTGAGGAGTTTCTCAGGGACAAAACCGTCGTATGCTGAGTGGGGCAGGGTCTCCGTACGACATCCCGCCCAAGCCATGAGCTCTGATGTCCCCCGAGGTACAGGGGTCGCCAGGAGCAAGACACCCCAGCAGGGGAAGCCACCCTGCCCCACACAGGGTACGGGCTCYTTGGGGAAGAAGGGAGCCTAAGCCAAGGCACTCCCAACGTTTTGGGCTGGGACGGGCAGCTTTTTGTCCCCGTGGAGCAGGCCGGTGCCAGAGCAGCGGCATGAGGGGCCTCCGGAGAGTGTCCGCACCTCATGAGCTGCTGCTGCTTCCACTCCTCAATGCGCCTCTGCGCTGTCGTCTCCCGGTCCTCCTCGCTGGAGCTGGAGTTCTCCTCCTCGTCCAGCTCCCGCTGGATGCTCTGCCACTTTTTCACCAGGGATGGCATCTTCGTTTTAGCCTTCTTGCTCTGTGCCAGGAATTCCAAAGGCGGCGGTTATGGCAGCTCAGGAGAGGCACCTCGGAGCCTAATCTCAGCAGAGACCCCCCACAGGACCCCGCACCGGGACCCTGTCCTACCTTGTCCTTCCGTGCCTTCCGCGGCTTCTCCGGGGGCAGCGTCTTGGGAGCAGGCGGGGGTGGCTGTGGTGGCGGTGGCTGTGGCGGCTGCTCTGCGGTACTGGCAGCGGGCAGGGCCCCGCGCGGCGGTGCTGGTGGCGCAGCRGTGGCGGCCGCAAGCCCCACAGGCACAGTGCACTCCGAGTAGCTCATGACGGACGGTGCTGCGGGCGCCGTCACTCCCAAGTAGCCAGGCTGGAGGCCCAGTCCTGCGGGCTGAGGGCCTGTGTGGCCTGGAGCCATGCGGAGGTTGGGGCGGCCCTGGATGTCGCCTGTCAGGCGCTGTCGCGGCCTCAGCGAGCCGAGGGGCACTGGCGAAGGCTGGTACTTGCTGGCGGCCATGAGGGGCTGGCTGTAGAGGACGGGGCAGCTGCCGATGGTGGCGGCTCGCTGCATCAGCGCCGGGCTCATCTCCGCCGCCTTCCTCTTCAGCGGCTTGGCGGACAGCAGAGGGGCAGGGCTGGGCTCAGTGACACCCTGTGAAGGGCAGTGCCCGGTGAGAGCTGCGTCGAGAGGCCCCAAGGGCGACCAAATGGCACCGCCGTGGCGGCGGCACCCAAGCAGGCCCTGTGTGCGGGGACCCTGCTGCGCCCGCAGCACATCTCCTTCACTGCCCCTTCTCCCCAGGCTCACACTCTGCCCCTGTGTGCCCATCCCCAAAGTGCTTTGTGGGCTATGTGGGGGTGGGAAGGGAGCCTTGCACATGGGGGCAGCGAGACCCCGGGCTCAGCTTCTGGTCCCTGGACGCGCCGCTGCTCACCTGGCTGCTGCCGACAGCTGGTCGGAGGAGAGGCTTCAGGGGAGCATCTTCCGTGCCTGGGGCAGGTGGCTCCTCGCCCCCCTCGTCCTCCATCTCCACTTCCTGGATCTCTCCGTCCTCCCCTGGAGGTGGCGGCGAGTCCGGCGGAGGTGGAGGCGGTGGAGGCATTTCCAAAGGCAAAGGAGGTTGGAGGACCGGGACAGAGGACTGAAGCAGAGTCCAAAATGGAGTGAGCGGCATGAGAGACGTAGCAGGAACTTGGCCTGAGAAGGATTCTTTACAAAGGGAGCCTGAAGAATACATATTGACACAGGCTTGAAAACCCACGCTACTAACCGCGCCGCCCTCCGCTCCCCCGTCTCCGCTGCTGCCTTCGCCCGCTCTGGGCAGCTCCGCAGCGCAGGCTGCCACTCCTGCAGAGCCCTGCCTGGGAACCGGGGGGCAGAGATGAGGCCCGGCGCCCTCATGACTCCCTCTGAGCTGCTGCTCCTGGCCTCGCCGGGCACCATGGCTGCACTAGCGCCAGCTTCCCTACGGCTGCCACTGGCCACACCGCAGAAAGGGACCCGCACCCGGGCACCCCAACCCCCCCACGCAGCCCAAGACCCCGCTGCGCTACCTGCACTGCGCTCTGCTGCGTCCCCGGCGTGCTCTCCTTGCTCTTTGGGAGGTGGTTGAGGAGGACCGTCGGCTTTTCTGTCGGCGCTCTGCTGTCCGTCCTCTTCGTCCTCCCCGTCGGGGAACTCCCACTGCGACTCTCCTGAGTGCTCGTTAACATAGAAATAGCGCCTATGCTCCCTAAATCACAAGAAAGAGAACGGGGCTTTACATTCCCTCCTCCTGAAAGGACACAGCGAGGCAGGCCTGCCCGCGACAGCCACGCGCTCTCGCGGGGAAGACCCTCTGCAGCAGGGCTGCCCTTCACAAATGCAGCAAACAACTTTGAGGACAGAGGCAGGAGAGGCCCGAGCCGGATCGCTCAAAGCTATTTGCGCTGCTGGCTCTGGGAGCGTGGCCCCGAGCCCCCCGCTCCGAGAGGGAGAGGAGGGCCGAGAAACGCAGTGTGCAGCGCAGCGAGGTCTCGCTAGCACTGGGACTTGCAGCCACTGCCCTGGCCTCAAGTCATCCTCCAGAAGGGGTGATGGGGAACAGCCCAGTTTGGAGAAGCGGCTGCCCCCCTACCCCGTGCTGCCTGGAGGTCGCATTTATGAGACTCTTGGTGCCAAACACACAGTGAATGCTAGAGAGAGGGAGCGGATCTGGGAGCTGAAAAACAAAAAGAGCAAAGATTTCAAATAAGGAAAAACGACTCAAGAAAGCCAAAGAGAAAAAAGAAATGTTTGGGTCTGACCTGCTGGCAGGAGAGAGAAATCCTGTTCTTCGTTCGGTTGATGAGTTGAAGTTTGTCCTTTGTCAGTGCTGTTGGTCAGAAGAGCTGATCCAGAGGTCCTGCAAAGTTCACAGAGCTCTCGCATGCGCGACCCCCCAGGCCCGCCCTCCATAGCGCTTCACTCTCGCAAGAGGGAAAATCAGCTCTGTCCGATCAGGGATTCAGATGCGTCTCAAAAAACACGGAGCAATCGCTTCGCATTCTCCAATTTGGCGGCTGGCCCAAGCTCTGTAAGTGCCGGAAGTTTCTCTGCCTGCCCAGCACTGCTATAACTGGAAGCTGCTCTCAAGTCTCCGAAAGGGATGCGCCGCGTCGTCCCGCGTTGATGCTCACAAATCATGTCTGAGATGTCAAAGATGAAAGGTGAGAAAGGTAGGAGAGCGCGTACCTGTCCCAGTGGCAGGACCAGCCTTTAGGGGTGGCGTTTATTTCGTATTGTTTGAGCTGCTCGGCCGCGTCTTGCAGCTTGCGTTTGAGGTAGTTGCCATTGAGAGCCCCTTCCCGCCAGTCAGCGACGCGCGTCTAGAGGGCGAGAAGCGGGGAAAGTGGCTGAGGGTGGGCGCCCCGCGGCACAGGGCGAGGGGCCCGCGGCAGAGCCGCCCTCTGGGCTGCGCCTCTTCCCCGCCGCTCGGGCTGCCGGCCAGCGCGTGGAGTCCCCTTCAAAACACAAGGCCTTGTTACCTCCGTCTGCAACAGCAGCATGTGGAAGTTGGAGACCGACTGCCTGCTGATGCCCAGAAACTCCAGTTTACTGGTCAGAGTGTTTGCCAGCTCTCCGATTTGGAACTGCCAAGGAGAAAAGGGAGAGTGAGGAGCCACTCCCACACGGCTACAAGGCCGCAGTGGCCACTGCAGCCCTGTAGCTTGCAGGGAACACCAGGAGAGCAGGAGCCACCGCTGCGTATGGCCCTGCACGTGAGGAAAGAGGAGGAGGACTCAACTACTGCCTCCACGCCAGCCCTGCCCTTTAAGCCCCAGGGACAGTGCCTGCGCCCCCAGTGGGACACGGGGCTACTCTGACTGCCAGAGGTGCCAACAGAGGGCCCAGCGAGTCCCAGGCCTCCGTGTCCAACTTTCCAACATCTTCTCAGCAGTTTCTGCTCCGAAGTGGCCAAAGGAAATTAGGGATTCAGGCTGAGGCTAGAGGACTGCAGCTGCAGGGACAGGTGTTAAAACAAACACTTCATCCGTCTCCCAAAGGTATCGGGGCGGGTTGCATTTCTGGGCTTCTTAAAATCACTGCTTTCCAGCACAATTATATGGAAATGGCCCCAGAGAAGCTGCAGCCCAGGATTTGCTCCCAAGTAAAGGCTAGTCTCTATTTTAACTTTCAGACCGGCCTGCGGCGCTTATGGCTACTGGATCCAACATCCTTGTAGGAGTGGGAAACCCAAGCTGGGCATTGCGCTGCAACATAGCTCACTGAGGGGGACTGCACCAAAGCAAATGCAGGCCAGGGATCAGTTATAAGCAGGGATGCCCGCAAGCAGGAAAATGAGGGATTCCTTGAAGGAGGGAGCTAAAAACATTTCTTTTTCCTTCTTTTTTCCAAAAAGATGCCAGGAAGCCCCCAGAGCAGTGCGCATGCCCAGAGACAGGGATGGCCAGTAGAAGATGCTATGGGAGCCCTGGCCCTCCCATGGAACCGCCTCCATTAACAGGATGCTGGGATGCCGGGAAGGATCGTGCGGCAGCAGGAGCAGCCGGAGAGCCAGCTATGAGCGAACGGGCCAGCAGAAGAGCCCCAGTCAAATAGAAGTGACCAGGGCAGGCGAGCGCAAACCTGGCAGCTCCAGGGAATCTTGCCTGGGAATCCCCATGTCCCAGGGCACCACCGGCGTGCAGAGGCCCTGCGATGCCAGGAGCTTTTAAGGCTTCCAGAGGCAATGGGGGCACAGCGGGGCAGCCAGCACCACTCCTGCAGCTGACATTTCTAATCGCAAGAACAGGGCAGACTTGGGTATATACTGCCCCGAAGAGGCTTGAAGCCTATATGCAGGGAAATCATGTCCCTCTAGTATTAGAGGTGGTTTTGTGGTTTTTCTTCTTTCTTTTTTGTTTAAGGAGACGGACACTAGATTTATGTTGAGGAGGGGAGAAYAGTCGTTTCACACTCAAGCAGAGATTAAATGAAGGGCAGTGAGGGTGGGACTACTAGTTTTCACAATAGAAAATCACCTCCCCTGGGTTTCTGCTGCCTATTCTCACATACAGCATCTGGCAGAGGGAGGCAACAGCATTTACTACTGTAGCAAAATTATTCAGAAGTCAAATTCAGTGCTGCAGAAGATACCCGAGTGCCTGAGAACAGAGCACAGGCTGGCAGGGACAGATAGATTTCCCCTCACACCCTATATAGCTATAGGCACACACTGCAGCAGGCTCCGAGCAAGCTGCACAGCTCAAGGAGGGGCTCTGGGAACCACTGAGTCACCATCAAAAAAAGCAGATCAGGCCTTTTGAAGAGAGTCGGGGAGAAAACTGCTGGGACAGGGCGACAAAATTGCTTCAAGCAGTCCCAGCTCGCGTCCAAGAGCCTCCCTGTGGCCACCTCTTGCCTCAAAAAAGCAGCCACGCCAAGGCACAGGCAGAAGGCCCAATACCAAGAGCCTCTGGACACACGGAGGCTGCCGACGTGGCTTCTTCCATCAGCCGCCATGTAGCCACCCTGTTTCCAGAGAAAAAGGACTGCAATATCATTAATATCAGGCAGGAAAGGCAGAACAAACACATGTGCTCTCTCTCGTTGGGCAACCAAGGGTCGTTCTTTGTCCTCCCCCTTCAGGCCTCTCTACTGCAGATGAGACACTGGGCTGAGGAGACTGTGGCCCATGGGGGACCAGCCATTTGTCCCAGGGCGAAGCCAGCACCCAGACACTGTGGCCAGACACGCTGTTATTCCAGTAAAAAGCTAGGCTGGGAGCTCCCGGGCTGCCGCACCATCCCTTGCAGCACAGACTGCCATGCCGTTCTGCCAGTGACAGGCAAGGCAGGCGCAGCCGCCCCTGTGCAGCCCGCGTGGGAACCCGCAGGCTAAAGGCTAAAGTGGCACCGCTCACACAGCAGGCAGGCTGCAGCCACGGGCAGGGCAGGACGAGGCGGCAGGGACGCGCCTCGGCACAGGCTGCAGCCATGGGGAGCCCACGGACATCTCTCGGCACGGGCTGCAGCCACGGGGGCTGCGGGAGCCCACGGACATTTCTCGGCCCGGGCTGCAGCCACGGGGGCTGCGGGAGCCAACGGACATCCCTCGGTGCGGGCTGCAGCCACGGGGGCTGAGGGGAGCCCACGGACATCCCTCGGCACGGGCTGCAGCCACGGGGGCTGAGGGGAGCCCACGGACATCCCTCGGCACGGGCTGCAGCCACGGGGGCTGAGGGGAGCCCACGGACATCCCTTGGCACGGGCTGCAGCTACAGGGGCTGAGGGGAGCCCACGGACATCCCTCGGCACGGGCTGCAGCCACTGGGGCTGAGGGGAGCCCACGGACATCCCTCGGTGCGGGCTGCAGCCATGGGGGCTGTGGGAGCCCACGGACA